AGAGAGAGAGAGAAAGAGAGAGAGAGAGAGAGAGAGAGAGAGAGAGAGAGAGAGAGAGAGTAATGTCAACTATGTTGTTCCAAATCCTATTTTCTTTCGCTTGTATTTATTTATCATTTTGATAGCAATTTGCAATACAATGCAATTTATTGTACGAAATGTTGAATGCAATCAATAGACATCTCATTTGTGGCAACAATTAATTATTAAAAGATTGAGTTCTTCCTTAAGATTGTGTGCCCTTTAATGTGCTGTCAGTTCGAGTGGAAGCGCCAGTAGATTATGGTCAAGGAGTTTAGTATTGATATGACTTTCAACGCAAACAATACTTCATTCACTTAAATCTAGTTTCCTATTCATCAGAAATCCAACAAATTTCTAATCAATTTCAATAATAATTAATGACTTTTCCCATTACATGCCATATCGTTAGCACTTTAATGATAGTATAGTTTACGCATAACTTTCTTGACGACAAATAATACTATATTTATTACTTCACGAAATATATTCCTATGATTGCCATGAAAATAAAATATCATATGTGGGATTTTCTATACAATAATAAAATAAATTGTACGGTACTGTACTGTATTGTACAATAAATGTATTGTACAGTGTACTTATCAATTGTTAATATTTCACAAACATTTCCTAATCATAAATTTATACCTTTTGTACCTGTTATTATTTTGGTTTAAATTAAATATTTCTACACAAAATAGTATATTAGTAAAGTTAATCAAGCTAAATAATACCGTACATCAGTGTAGAAAACGTGATTAATTTTTAAAAATTAGTAGAAGTAGTTTTGTTTTATTAAATTAGTATTAATTACATACAATATTATATAATAAAACATATTTATATTGCTATTATCATGAGACAAATAAAAAACAAAGTATTTGCTTAAGAATACAAGACTACGAGTGTATTGTATTCAAGGATTAATTTTATGGCAGACTATAATAATCAGTCGTTTTTTGTATATTTGTTGCCAAAATGTATTTCCCAAATAACAACGGCTTTCCTTATATTTGATGGCATTATAATAGGAATTCTTGGGAAATACTCATCAGAATTCCGATTATAAAACACTTCAATACTATGTCTATAATAATGTGACAAATCATAGGTTCATAATGTTAAGGATTTTCTATTGAATTACATAAATAAATAGTAACTTAATCAAATGTCTGTATATTTTTGTTTAATTTAGAAATAAAAACTACTTTTCCATACAATCATTAAAACCAATAAATTATGGAAAATATTTTTAGTAAAAAATCATTTTAGATATCAAATGTTTATTTTATTTATACAAATAATGTCAAAAAAATATTTATGCAAAATATTTTTAAAAAATTCCTATAGATATTCAAAAATATTTGTCTCAATGAAAGGGTAAATAAGTTAATAAATCAATACATAATTTAATTTAAGCGAATCAATGCATTCAAGCATTAGTCACACATAGCTATTGGTATTTCTCTCTCTCTCTCTCTCACTCACTCACTCTCTCTCTCTCTCTCTCTCTCGCAACTCAATCAACTCAGTGACGATCTGTTCGTACAAATCCATTAACTTCTTGTCGGGAAGTTTGAGCGATTGCACCACTTTGAGCACCACATCCCAGTGCCCGCAGTGGATGTCGTGCACGAAGCTCTCCACGGAGTCCACGGTATTCAATGAGATACTCGTCTCCTCCTGCAGTGTCTGCAAAGTCTTCAGCAAATTGTTTTCCTTCAGGTACTGAGCCATCAGTCGGATCACGTCCGCGCTCTCGATCTCTCTCTCTCTCTCTCGCATCCGTTTTATGAACAACACATTTATAAAGTAAAGAAATTGTTATATTTTGTTACGTAAACATTAAGCAACTTTTCCAAAAGTTATAAGACTTGAATAACAAAATATTAATGCTGATGTTATTTCCGATTTTTTTCATACAATTCAATAAATTTCTTTAGAAATGAAAATGCATTTAAAAATATATTTATTTCAATATAACTTCAATTTAATATAAATAAACATCGGATATACTAATTAATTTAAAATTATTGATAACACTTATGATAATAATTATGATACATTATATGATATTATGAATTAAAATGAGTCTAATCAAATTCAATGACTTTTGGTTACATTTGAATAATACAGTAGAAAGTTTCGATTACTTATTAGTTAGTATAAAGTGCACCAGGGACAGTATGACATTTCAAAGCAATTATGACATCAGGTATATAAATAGTTTCAATAAAATCTATTATAATCAGAAAAATATATATTAATTCCGTAACTACAATCCAATTCTTAATGATAACCAAGATAATTTTATGAGGGAATCTACTGTATCATAGAATACTGTATCTATGATAGAATAATAACACGAGTGGTGCCCCCTATGAGCCCCCATCACACCCATACATATGTCACGTTTTATATGAACGGATGAATTGTTTATCAAAAAAAGTGTGTTTTTGTGTCTATTTTGGGGATCAACTCAATCACTGAATCGAAAGACACCGCTGAAGACCCGCGAAGACACGGACCAGACCATCGCCACCACTGACCCCCACCACCGACAATGTCCATAGAGATCGAGAGCGCGGACGTGATCCGACTGATGGCTCAGTACCTGAAGGAAAACAATTTGCTGAAGACGTTGCAGACATTGCAGGAGGAGACGAGTATCTCATTGAATACCGTGGACTCCGTGGAGAGTTTCGTGCACGACATCCACTGCGGGCACTGGGATGTGGTGCTCAAAGTGGTCCAATCGCTCAAACTTCCCGACAAGAAGTTAATGGATTTGTACGAACAGATCGTCACTGAGTTGATTGAGTTGCGAGAGTTGGGCGCCGCTCGCAGTCTTCTCCGCCAAACGGATCCCATGATTAAGCTATTAGTATGTGTTTACTCGTTTGCATTGTATTATAATCTACTCATGCAATTGTCTCTCTCTCTGAAAAAATCATGAAATAAAATAAATAACAAAAGCCAAAAGTGCAAAACATTGAAATGCATTGTCGGTTATTGTCAACAAACTAGCAGTTTTAAGGCTTAATGCCTTATATTATTGTTGATTCTTGAAATGTAATACTATATAAGTTAAGTGTAATTATGAGACAATTGCATGAGTAGATTATAATACAATGCAAACGAGTAAACACATACTAATTGTATATTTATTAGAATTCACTTTAAGGTTGACTGGTATTAGTCTATGACATAGACTCTACAGTATGTGTTTGCCTTCTTATATGAAAAACATTTAGATGTCAAGAATTATAAGAATATAATTTCATATAAATAATGGCTGGTCTTAAAATATTCATTAACCAAATAATATTGTAAACAATTCTGTAGGATGATTAATTCAATTAAATGTTCATTTATAGATATTAATATAGTTATATTAGTAACTAATATGAATATTGAATAACAATTCTAAGAATAAATTAAAATACAAAATTTAAGAGATACAGATTTATTAAACAAAATAATTAATAAGATCATTCATTATTACATATTATTTAGCACGGATTCTTGAAAAATTCTAATTCATAACAAATACAATAATAGATTAGTTATCCGTAGAGTTCACATTTTATTAAAAAGTTTTTAACTTACCCTAATATCTTGCCTAACAATGATTTATTTGAATCACAGAATTTTGAATCATTGATTTGATTTTGCCAACTGATTCAACCATACCGTTACAATAGTAACGCGCTAACGCTATCACCACAAAACCTATTGACTAAACTATTGAATTAAAAAATAAATCTTAAATTCGCCAAATAAACCAAAAACATAATAATACAGGGCTCGAGATACACACAAAATAGTTTAGTATTTATTTTTCGGTTAGGTATTCATCAAAATTCTTACAATCAGTAGATTTATCTAAATTTTAGGCCACAACTGATCCAAAGACACAAAGACAAGACATGGCGAGTACACAGAGTAGTCAATATGTGTGGACAATGAATGACAAGTACGTCCAAAAGGTCCAGAACCGTAAGTTCAAAGACGAGTACCAAATGAAGGAAGAGCTGGGAAAGGGAGGCTTTGGCACAGTCTACAGGTGCATATGGAAGGCCCAGAAGAAGGAGTTTGCGGTGAAAGTGAACAACAGTCCCGACAAGAAGAAGGCTCAGGACGACGAGAGACTCATTTGCGAGCGATTGTCGATAAACAAGGGGCACATGAATATCGTGAACATGTTTGACAGCATCACTGAGGGAGACATTATGTACAATATCATAGAGTTGGCCACCGGTGGGGACCTCATGAGTCTCATACAGGAGAAGGAGTACTTCCAGCCGGACGAGGCAGCCGTTGCCATCAGACAGATCCTCGATGGCGTGCAACATATGCACACATGCGGCCTAATGCACCAGGATCTCAAACCACACAATATTCTCGTCCAAAGTAAAGGTCTTCAGGTGTATAAAGTGACAGATTATGGACTCAGTACGGCTTTAGATAGAAATAAAGTTCATACGGCCGGCACACCTCAGTATAAGCCACCGGAAGGTATTGCTATAACCGTACAGCAAAACGTGGTGCTCCCGGGACAGCCTCAGTGGTGGCCACAGAACAAGGGCTATGGAGCCGAACCCAGTGGCGAAGATTTCGACATTTGGAGGTTTCGCCCAATAATTATATATAAATTACTATTATTTCTAACTGACTATCAATTGGGTGCATATATACCCGGACGACAGCTGTGGTGTGATTCTGTATCAGATGTTAGCCGGATATACGCCATTCTTCGAGACCAATCAGGACGAGTTGAATCGAAAGATCAAATTCATTGAGTTTACATATCCCAGCCCTGAGTGGTATACCCCAAGAATTACTTGTTTTATGGATTGTTTTCAGTAAATAAATATATATTTGTATTTAAGGGATGATCTGATTGAAGCCAAAGATATGATAAACCGTATGATAGCACCCAACCCAATAACATTTCGACCAGGAGTTCCCGCGCCACAAACTAGGCTCGGCTATCAACAACTCCGAGCACTGACTTTCTACCAAAAGGGCTTAACCCCAGTGTCGACCATACCTCAGACCACAACACTTGAAAAATATTTGCTCAGAAAGAAACTCAAGCAAAACATTCTTCAAAGTCACTGGAATCAGGCACAGGGAGGTGGACGGGGACGAGGACAGGGAGGTGGACAGGGAGGTGGACAGGGAGGTGGACGGGGAGGTGGACAGGGAGGTGGACTAGGACGGGGAGGTGGACGGGAACGGGGACAGCCACCTGTGGGCGGTGTGCCATAAAAGAAAGGAAGCAAAGAATTTGAAGAATATTTTTATACACATAT